TGTGGCAGCTGCTGCTACCATCGTATTAAAGAACAAATGAAAGCAAACTTGACCATTGAAAACTATATATATAATTTAGTTTTATGGTCAAGGTTAGTATTGCAAGTGTTGACAAAAAATAAAACAATTTTTGTTCATAATTATAAAATTAAAAAGAATATACACTATTAGCAAGTAATAAAAAATTCAGCAAATATTTTTGCTATGTCTAATACTGAAGAATTATTTAGATGTTAATGGCCTTAAAACTATAGAAAATACCAAAATATTCCTTGTTTCTGGGGATATCTATATCTTATCTAGGAATGTGACAGTTATTCTAATTTAGCCTCTTGTTTTTTGGCTTTTTTTTATACAGGTTATTTGCAAATCTCCTTTGAGTATTTTTTCTGGATAGCATTTGTTAACATACCTTTTTAATATTCAAAATCCTATATCACCCACCATTTTCTGTTTAGTTGTCCATCATTCACCTAACAGATGACATTGCCCAGGTTGATAAATCCTGCATTACAACCCAATTAATATTTATATTATAGATATCACCTTGTTTGAAACCCAATTTTATTTGAAAGGGGTCAATAAAATTACAGCTAACTATTAACAATAGTAATGCTATAGAACAAAGCTCTTTCTCTCTAATATATGAGAGAAAGAACAGATATGTTCAGGCAAGTGTGTGTGTGTGTGTATATATATATATGTATATATATATATTTAATTCAAGCATTATTTTTAGTGGATACCCGTATTTGACTAAAATGTTCCATATTTTTTTTTTTTTATATAGTGTTTATTTTGTCTAGTAAGCCTAATAAAGAAAATGTGCCTTCCAGCAGGACTCAAACCAGAGTTCCTCCTTCATATGAGGAACCACTGACTAATCCAGTGGATTTCAGACCATTTAGCTATTGAGTGTCTCACAGCCAAGTTCTATTTACCCAAAATCTAAACAAGATGTTGCTTTAAAGCAAATAAAACCTTGCTTGGCTGTGAGGTGCTCCATAACCAATTGGGCTAAATTTACTGTTTGATCTTCTGAGATGAGCATTAATTATTATTCTTATAGTTTAGCTTCAACAGTGTTTTTTTTTTCCTATGCTGTCAATGTTTTCTTGCCAATATATAAACTGAAGTGTCAAAAATATAAATGGCTACCTAATACCATGTAGCTTCTCCTTTTGCTTGAATAATGGCAGCTCCATGAATGAGCATGGAGTGTTATGCAGGCATGTACCAGTGTTGTCCCTAGATATGGCTTCTCTCTTTTTTTTTTTTTTTTAAGCATTTTACCTCAATCAAGGTAATGAAACCACTAGGATGTAAGAGGTTACTGAGTTTTAGAGAATAGTAGAAAAACTACCATTAAGGAGAGAAGACAATAAAGAACAAGCATTAAGAAGACAGAAGATAATGATTGATTTTCAAAATTTAAATTCAATGTCAAAGTTGACTAGGAAGCAAAAAGCTGGAAAAGAGTTCCACAAGTAAGAAGTGTGACAGAAGAAACTGTTAGCATAGAACTTATAGTTACATCTACCCATTTTACTGTTAAATGATAAGACCTCGTTGCCAATCTAGTACTGTGCTTAAATTCATAAAGTCTAAATATCATAGAGGAAAGCTCATCAGAACAGTTACCATTTAGTCAGGTCTGTAACATGTCCTGTATATAGTCAATTTTTAAGTTTGATGAATACAGGCCAATGAAATGCCTAGATGTTAGCAGTTCCTGGAATCAGTTTTATGTCACCTGTGCACAATGTAAGCATTATGTTGGATTTGCTAGAACTAATAATCACTCCAAAGTAGAGTGAGCACAAAGTGATACAAATGGTCTGCAACATGATCTCTGAATATCCCACTTGTCATGACAAGACTCCAGTTTAACTAAGGCTAACAGCCATATCATGTTATCACTGGTTCTCGTACAATCACCAAAGTTAATGTCAAGCCTGGTCAGTACCTAGATGGATGACTGCTTGAGAATACCAGGTGCTGCAAGCCTTGATGTGCAGGTGGTGTAATGAATAATGGCTTTGAATTGGATATCAGAGCTGAATTCTAATTCCAGTAGGGTTAGGTAAATACACTTGAGGAAAAGTATGAATCCATCTCTTCAACCTCCATCTGTGGGTTAATTAATAGGACTTCTATTAGCAAATCATTATCTCTTAAAAACAATTCTTACAATCTAAAACTATTTCTTGGCTTTAAATAACCTGCAAAGGGTTTATAAATGGTAAAAATGTAGCCATATCTACACTACATCTTTACCTATCATGTCGCACATCATCCAGGTGAAAGGAGGATGGTGAAACTATCCAGTGTACTGCTGTCTTTTTTTAATATACTCTAGTTCACATCAAAATCCCATATGGAAATTGTTTGTACACAGAATGTTAACATCTCCATTAATTCGTCTATCAAGATAGACTGGTACAAGAGTCAGTTTATCCAAAACTACTAATAGGGACTTATTTGTGAGAACCTTGGTAAACATCTCTAATTTTTTCCAGAAAATGTGCAAAGTTCTTTATTGAGGACAGAGACTAACCTGTTATTGGACAGACTATATCTCGCAGAAATCTGTTCAATGACAACTGAATCAAAGTCATAAAGGTTTTGATAATTTTTTTGATAAAATTATATAATCTGATAGCTTAGTAGGCATAAGTATTAAGTGTAACAGTTTACCTGGTGATCATGAATTCAATCCCTGGGTCTGTCAGAGAAATCCGTATACTCTGGTTTAGTGGACTGAAGCAGCATCACAAGGTTGAATTAACTAGTACGAGTTGTCTCCCTTAGCATGAATAACTGTCTAACACAGTGCTTCTCAAAAAAAGAAAAAAAAAAAACAAATTGGGAGTCCACAGTAGTACTTTAGTGGTCCATAGAGAAATTTCACTTCAGAATAGTTGTTACAACTGAGAATTGGAATTTCTACAGAAATCTATGCCATACTAAAATACTAAAGATAGAAAAACAACTCCAAACTAGCAGGAAATGAGATCAAGCAATTTAAGTTAGTGTCCTATACTGGATGTTTTGATTGTAAAAAATTTGAAAATGATTTATTAAATTATTTTACTAGTGTACATAAATGTTCCATAGAATTTAGTTGTTAAATACAAGTTTATTTTCATTAAATTAGTTATACTTCAAGATAAAGCATATACATTTACTATTTCTATAATACAATTTCTAAACATATCTATTAGTAAAAAATAAAATAAGTTTTTTTTTCATTGAATGATTATGGGGGTCTACCAAAAAATTAAGAGTAAAAGTGGTCCATTGGTTAAAAAAGGTTGAGAAGTAACCCTTTAGGGTGAATAAAGGATTTGGTTGAAAATTCTGAGCATATTACTGAATATGACAAACACCTAAATATGGTCAGAGGTTAAAATGGCTGAAATATTGATGTGTGGACAACAATTTAAATAAATCTATGTATAACAATTGAATTTCACATTATATAATGATCAACATTAGTAATATTGATAACTTCGTTTCACTACATTGACCAAGGATTAAAATCATGTGAACTTTTAAGCACAAGCCCGTTTGAATAGATTGTTAATGTCCTTTGGATTAATTTCAGTTCCTGCATAGATGGCTTGATAGGCTATAATTTTTTCAGTGTCTATAAACTTGAATGACATCTGTTATTCTAATTGCTTACAACCACACTATAGTAACAACAAAGCAGAGAAATTTTTTTTTTTCAAGAAAACATTCAAATATTTTCCATACTTATGTCATTAATTAGGAAAGTTCTTTGTTTTATTAACTATAACCATATATTTAAATCTAACAGTATCAATATCATCAAAGTTTTAAAAAATGCAAATTTAGAATTTGAGGCCCTTAAAATTCCCTGAAAACAAAAAACTGGTACACTATTAAAAGTTTCTCATTGCTAACATGTCCCATTTCAGAATTTGTGTGCACAGACTCATTCTGACTTTAAGAAAAGTCAAAAATTTTAAAAAGTAAAAAGCCAATTTTGCAACATACTTGGCACATTGTGATTCTAACTGGCAACTGAAAAAAAAAAACAATTTAAATACACAAACAGCATTTTTTTTTTCCTATATAAATCAAGACTGAATTATAATACTTGTCTAAGGCAATAGTTGCAGCTTGGATGTTATGCTGAGCTCTTAGGATTCTCATTTTGTTAATTGTAAAGATCAGTTGAATTTATATTTTTGTAAAAATTAGCAAAATCAAGAAACAAAAAAAGGAACTTTTGTACCAGGCAATCTGTTCCTTTATAAAATAAACAAATCAGAAACTGATAAAAAAAATACAAAACTGTTTTTATTTGTAAAAGCAGGAAAGACTGAATGAAGAAAAAAAAATTCCTTTAGTCACTGCATAAGGAAAATGTGGCAAATAGCAAGAATCTTTAAGCTTTCTACAAGAAAGCTTTTTATGCTTACAAATTTTAATTGAGAATGTAAGGTGATTGGTAAAGATACAAGAAGCCAAAGTCAATATATGAAAATAAATTTTATCCAAACAGCCAGATATTTCAATCAGATTCTACAATGAATAAATAAAAGTTTACATCAAACTCCTGGTAACCACTTCACCTCCGTTTCCTCAAATTTGTTACATAACTTTAATTGTGTGTCTGTACAAAGTATTAAAGAATCCAATGGTCATTGAAAAAAGAAAGATGTAATTCAATCATTTTTAGTTGATGGGTTAACATCAAAGTAACCGAATCTTTCAATTTTGAAACATTTATAAACTCTTTAATTCTCTTGTTCTTTCATTTGAATTGTAAAGGACGACATGAGATCATCTTAAAAGATGAAAAGAGAAATACTGAGTTATTTCCCTTGGATAATCAAATAATTTTCAGTTTGGATTGAAAATGCATCCATTCAAAAGATAGAAGCCTTATGCTGTTCCTACCAACAACTGGAGAAAATATGCTCAGATGAATCAGTTAAGAGAAATGTCTCAGTCATTAAACAACAAATTCATTTTTCTTCACCAAAAGAAATTTCTTCAACATCTTCTTCATCCACAATGTTATCTGGCTGTGGTATCATCACAGACATTTGTCGACGCTGCTCAGGTTCCTCTTGGAAAATGGCTCCATGAAATGGTACTGATTCATGTGACGAACGGGTACTAAGTTTCTCCAGATCAGAGCTGCTCTCTAAGTAGACTGCATCGTCTGCAGATGTTAAGTGGCTGTCTTCACTAAAGCGGACAGACTTTTGTACAAAGTTAATCTGATCACTGTCAGAAATGGAACCCACTTCTATCCGAGATGGAATGCCTTTCCACTTGATCAGATCAGCTTTGGAAGATACAGGTTCCATTGCTGAGGACTCAGCCATTCGTCTGCCAACTTCAATGATTCTTGTGCCTTTTTGAGGAAGGCAAATATCCTTTTCTGAAAGATTCTCTTCTTCTAGGTCAGAATAAGAGGCAACAACTTGTGCCAGTCCTGATTGTTTTGACTTTAAAGATTTCCCTTCTGGTTTCAAAGAAGTATCAGTTGTAGATACTTTAGATGGATTTCTGGCAAGATCAAGTTCTGATTCTGTCATGGGTAACTCTCCAAAACTCCTGTCAATGGCAGAATTTTGATCATTATTTGACTGCAATAAAATAGCAGTGGGTAGAGTAAGAGGATTTCTATTCCGAATCTGAGATACAAGTTCCAATATGGGATCTTTCTCTGGCGGCACTCGACTGTTGTACACAACTTCCCCCTCACTGTAGGTAATCTCAGTGGTTTCATCTTGGAAAAGATCTTCAGTGTCTCTTAAAGTGCTGGCAGAGCTGGCATCATTCAAAATTTGCTGATAGGCTTTTTCACTGATGCCAAAGTCAGCAGCTTGACCCTCGCTCTTACTCAGGAGCCACTGACCAACAGAAAGGCTCTCAAAAATTGTCTCGCTTTCACTTGATGTTGTTGGCACACTGCTACTTCCTTCAGATGTACTTTCTAAATTTTCCATACTGTGGTTGGTTTTAACTGTAGCTATCTCAACATCTTTTAGGGACGTGTTATCTTGAGTTGCTTCTTTGATTGGAGGAATGATGTCATGGCTTCCAGTTAATTGTAGCTCATCTTTTTGTCTGTTATCTCCAGCTACTTCACTACTGTCCCGACTGTATGTTGAAGGAGATGGTGTTCTGACTGGCCATTGCTGTTCACTATTTTCATTTAAGAGTTCAGGTTGAAAAACTGGGGAGCTGACTGGTGTTATAGGGGAACCGTCCGGCACTGGTGTTAAACTTGGAGTCTGCTGTGGGGTAACCACAGTCTCGAGCCTAGCAGCTGCTTCTTCTGTGTGGGTCACTTTAAAACTTTCTTCCTCTTTTAGTTTATCTATTTCTTGCTTAAGGGCAGCATGCAACAGACTTCTCTGAACATTTGGAAGTGAGGCTTCAACAATAGGTGAATTGTCTTCCAGCACTGGCTCAGGAGATGCAGATGGAGTTTGAGGAAGGGGTACATCAGATTCCAGTGAAGCTGATAAATCTTCACTCTCATTGGGTGTCAATTCTGGGGTTTGGGGTGATGGAACCAGCTTCTCTGGTGTTGATACCGATTCATTTTGTGGGCTGACTGGATTGGCTAACACTGAATGATGAATGTTCTCACCTAAGGCTTCTTTTATCATGGCATTTACTTTATCCACAAGAAGCTCTTCTACAAGCTGTGAAATCAAAGCCTTATCAACAAAAGGGGAAGAATTGGTAGAGGCTTTCAAACCACTTGGAACAATAGCATCATTCTCAAAATTTGGGGTATTATTTTGGGGAGCATCATTTTCTTCACAAACAAAATCTGAAGAAGGTAATGGGGGTTGGCAGGAATGATGGGAAAGAATTTGAGAAAGAATTTCTTGTTCAATCCACTGTAAAGCTTCTTTCTGGAGAGAATTTCTCTGAGAGGATTGTCTTAATAAATCAGTTTCCGGAACCAAAGGTATCCAATGGGCAAAGTCTTGATCATGGAGAGTATCCAAAATGTCCCCTTGAGACTTTTTCTCAACAAGTTCAGCTGCTGGCTTCCATGTTTTACTTCCAGTTACTTTTGAGTTAGAACCAGAAAAGATTATTAAAGACTCTTGCTTTTCCTCCTCCTCCTCCTCTTCTGATGCTGCAACTGATTTGGATGATTCTGAGCAAGCTCCATCATCCTCTGAATCTTCATCAGAAATGACTAGATTGTGAAGGGAAATCTTTTTGGTTTCCTCAGCAGATGGCTCCATACCCAACTCAATATTACTGCAAGGCTGACTTGTTTCCTGCTTGGCTTCAATTACAATACAAGGTAAAGTTTGTTTAACCAAAGCTTGTCGCTTTTTTGTTACATGCTCTTCATCACAGACTGGAATGTTACACATCATCACATTACTGGCAGGAACAATTTTCGGTTGATCTTCAGGTGCCATTGTCAGTGATTCTCCTGCCCTGATTGTAACTGGTACCTTTAAACCTGAATCCATTCTTGGTTCACGGAGAGCAACAGCCATATAGCCTAAATGTCCATGCTGGAGGTTACCTGAGCTTGAATTTTCAGTTGGTACAGAAGCAAAAAAGTACTTTTTACTATCAATATACACAGCCTGTTGATCAGAAGCCGCCTTGGTTTTTGAAATTTCTTCTTTTGCTTGAGGAGTTTGTGTTTTAGCACTTCTCATCTGAACCCCTTTTACCGGTACAGTTTCTTTTGGTCGAGATGACTTGGCTCTTGTTTGATTTTGAAAGTGCAGATAAGGATTTTTCACAGTTGTCCGTTTATTTTGATAGGCAGCTTTACCAAACACCTGAGTAAGGTAACCTGAATCTTGACATTTGTCTTTATTAACCGAAAACTTCTTAGTTGCAAGTTTGTCAGCTGGAACTTTCTGGTTATTGAGGGACTGGGTAGATTTTTGATTCTTTCTTTTGTTTGGTGGAGAATGTAAAGATTGTGACAATTCAATTTTGATATCGTTCTGCACTTTGGCAATGCACTGGTCCACTTTCCTTCTTAACTGAAGTCGGTGTACAGCAGGATTTCCCTCGCAAAGGTTATCCACAAGGCCATACACTGCATCTTTCTCCTGATCTCGTTCAGCCATATGAAAATTAGCTTCCAAAACCATGCGGCTAGTCTGGGCTTTTCGAAGGACTTCCTGCCCAGCTAAGACCTCGGCAGAAGGAAGTGAAGGTTGCTTGCCTGAATAGATTTTATCCTGGGTGAAAAGGAGAGATTTGTCTGGTGATTGTAGAAGATATTTTTCAAGTGGAGCTTCTTTAATAGATTCAGGTCTCTTAGTTGCAACTTCAGATAAATGTTCTTTGTTTGCATCTTCTTTTTCTAAAATCTGATCATCAATTGTGTAGCTAGTGTTTAATATTCTCTCAGTAGTAGATTTGGGAATGTTTTCTTTTGCTCGAATCGCATAAGGTTGTTGGGAATATCTAGCACTGACAGAATCTTTTAAAATGGAATATCTTGAGCTAACAGGAACTGAAAATGGTTGCCTTGTTTCTGATATGTTCTTCACATCAATATTTTGTTTTTCTTTGGAATGTTTTATCCCAAACTCTTTGATATGTTGTTGCTGGCTTCCAACCTTGTTTCTTACTGAACTTGTTTTTTTCTGGATAATATTTTTTGAAGCCTCTTTAACTCTACTTGATTTTTGATGAAAATTTTCTTTTGATTTTGAAATCATAGAACTGGCAGGAGTTTTCCCATGAAAAGTGACTTTTTGACTCTGTACTTTAGGTTTCTTCACAAGAAATGGAGCATAAATGTTCTTCACTGTACGATGATGACCGACAGTATTTGTATTTAATTTTCCTGAGTTATTAATATTGGAATCTTTGGTTGTACATATCTTTTCAGAATTAACAGATTTTGAATCCATGTTTTCACAACCAAAAGATTTGTTAGATGCTTTGTCTTCTGTGATGCTATTCTGTTGATCAAGTGGTACCGACAAAGTCTGGTAACCAGAACTCATGCTGAGGATATCTTTTATTTCCTGACCAATGCTGCTATTTAAAGAGGAATTCAGGTAAGCATCCTTTTCATCTTGTACCTGGTTTGGTTTCTGGGTTTCTGGCTGAAAACTCTTTACCATGTCAATACCAGACATTTTCTCAAAGCTTTTAGCAACAGTCAAGAATTTTGTTTGCATTCCAAACAGCTGTTTCTGTAACTCTTCCAAGTGTTTCATGCGTTCATCTGTCACTTGGTTCAACTGTGTTTCCAGTTTGGTTATCTTTTGTGTTTTGCTTTCATTCTCTAATTCTTTCTGTTTTAAAGTTGCTTCTTGCTCCAACATGTTTATCTTTTCCAAAAGCACTGAAAGTTGAGATTCCAATTTATTTTGTGAAGAGATGAGAGGCTGTGTTGACAGAGCTGCTGCTGTTGCTGCAGCAACAGCACTGACAGCATCAGGGAGTACAGATTTTTCTTGACAAGAATGACAAAGATCCTTCTTCTCAGGAATGGTGTCTGATTGATTTGTAGAAGTAATAACCTTTGCGGGGACAGTCCTACGAACAGACACTGGTGCATTTTGGGTCTTTTTTGTGAGCAAAGCTTTACGTGCAGCCAAAGAATCAAGTGAAGAGAAATTAGTTATCTTCACACTGTTATTATTATTTGGGATTTTTTTTTGCATCAGCATTTTTCCTGTCGACACTGAACCTTGGTGTATTCTAACTGGTCGTGGATTCTGGTCTGAAACAGCAGTTTTTCTAGACACTTCACTACTGTCTGATCCTGCACAATCAGAAATTAAAACATCTGGCTTCAAAGAATCCTCTGAAGTTTGTTCAGAAAATTTAATAATTTCTGTTTGTTTGTGTTTGACTGATTCTGAAAACATATCCGACTGGTTAGGTTTCTTTGCTTCAGTTTTATCCGATAAACCATCTGGAGGATTTCCGTTTTTAATATTAGAGTCAAATGCAGAGGGAAATGGGAAGCTGTTTTTGCAAGGACTGTGTTTCTCCACAACAACTTGGTTCTGAGGGCCACATTCTGGTGATAAAGATCGTGGAGTGGACGTACTATTTAAAGGAATCTCCAAATTTTCGGGGAGATTCTGCACTTCCCGAAGACTTGACACTGGAACTTTTACTTTCAGAGTTCCGAAGCTACCAAAACACGACTTTACTGACATGGAAGACGTTGATGAGGCGCTCAGGTCTAAAAGACGGTCGGCTTCATTTGCCGAATGAAAAGAATGGTGCTCTGATAAGAGAGTTTTGTTAGCATGGCTATTTAGTGAATTCTGAGCAGTTAGTGATGAATTAATTTTGGTTTCTGGTTGTTGATCGCTCAAACATCGGGCAGGACGTCGATCTGAGAGTCTTAGATTTCCTTCACGAATAACACGAATGTTTGTTTTGGAGTTAATACTTTTCTTACGTTTTTGTTGATTCATTATGTCTTTTTTGGGGGGATAAATGACTAAATTATCTCCCCCCAAAATAAACCTTAAATTTAATTTAAATGCAAGATAAATAAATATTTAAAAACTCGTTAATTATAATTTTAAATGTACATTTTTTTTATAGTCTCGAATATTACTACATTTTTGTGTTATCACTGCCAAGATCTGGTTTAAGTGCCTTTTTCTTTTAGTTTTATTTTTTTACAAAAAAAAGATTACTATTTTGTATTTTAACTTTTTTTTAACCGAGAAAGAAAAACGCTGTAAATAATAAATTTAAATACAAAGTAAAAATATGAAATGATAAGCAAACAAACATACGTGAAACGAATCGCGAAAGCTTCCGACGGCAGATTTCATAATTTGTTATTTAACTTAATGTGGTCATTTTGATAAAAAAAAATTCTAGGAAGCCGCCGGCAAATGAAGGAAATTTCGTTCACTTTTCTAAAAATTTCAGTTGTTGTTGTTGTTAGTAACGGACCTTCCTCCCTCCCTCACCACGTCTTCCTCCCTCCCTCACCACGTCTTCCTCCCTCCCTCACCACGTCTTCCTCCTCCCCTTCTTTCTCCCACTCACCACGTCTTCCTCCTCCCACTCACCACTTGTTCCTCCTCCCACTCACCACTTGTTCCTCCTCCCACTCACCACTTCTTCCTCCTTCTCTCCCTCTCCTTCACCACTTCTTCCTCCTCCCCTCGCGTCTTCCTGTTTTGATTTTCTTGACATGAGAGAACGATCGCTTTCCTTCTGCTATGGATGACTAATGTGGCTAAATAGTGTATTTTCTATTAATGTTTGTTTTTGACTAAATTTTTCTTGACATCAAATTAGAGGAATATATTGAGTGTTTGTTTTGTATATTTTTGCAACAGTAATTGTTTACATATAATTAATAATTTTAAAGAAAAAATTGTTTACTTTCTATTGTCATGTTTCAGTTTCAGTAAAAAGTTTAAACTTTCAAACATATTCTTCGTTGCCACCTTTTTTTATTTTTTATGCGTTATGTATCACTCGTAGTCGTAAATTAGTAAATAATAAGGAAACCTATTAATAAGAAGATATTTACTTAAATATTTTATTTAATTTTAATAGGTTCCTTTTTTCTTTATAAATTCGAGCTATGTTAGTTTATCAGAAACTTTTACTGTTTTTTTAGTGTTTAAAAAGATTCACTTTTTTCTTTTTCACAAAGTGGCCTAAAAAATTTCTAACTCAAATCTGTAAAAATCTTAATATCGGATTTTTCTCCAATTCCTCTTTTTTGCTTTTTTTTTTTTTTTTTAATTTTAAATTTCATGGAAATTTATTATTATTAAGTAAGTCTTCTTTGTTACTCTTGTTGCGGAATAATAGTTCTTTATCTTTAGTTTAGCTAACAGTCTAGGATTAGTAGTGCAAATTGGGGTACGAAGGTTACTTCAATTTTTAAGTGAAGAGGACCCATGTAGTTGTACTGAAAACAAACACACAAAAAATTATCACCTTTACTTGGATTCGAACACTGTATCGGTGGATAGGGAGACGTACTCACCTTCACAGTATCCTGTCACCCCTCCCATAGCACGTACTTGTCTTTGGAACTAAATAAGTGTTGCTGTTGAGGTTACGTTTTTCGTGGCACTCCATAATTTTAAAATTTACATACTAACTTTTTTTTTTTAATAGTCGAAATAAAACGAGAAAATGTTTATTGAAATAATTTCGTCAAACATTTTTTTCATGATGGAAGGTCTTTTTAAATGTGATGAACTGCCGTCGAACTTTTTTCCTAACATTTTTAAAATGCAAGTATATTTTATGTTTT